GGATGCTGTATGTATACATGCCAATATCCCAAGATGAATATATTCAATATGTATCATAAACATATGCTAATAAAAAGTTATAAATAATTAAATAAAAATAAAAAGAATAAAAGGGTTGCAGGTATAGCTCACTGTAAAGGCCCTGAGTTCAATCTCCAGTACCACAAGAAGAAAAAAAGAAACACACAAACCAAACCAAACATTCCTAACTAATATGCTGGTGTCTTAGTTACTTTTCTCCCATTGCTGAGACAAAGTACTGGACACCCAAAAATAAGAAAGGAAAGGTTTAATTAGTTATATTTTGTGTAGATTTCAGTCTAAAATCAGCTGGCTCCAATGGAGGGTGGCATGGCATGGGGACAACAGTTCAACACAGAAGACCGCAAAAGCAACAAGAGCAAAATGATAAGGTTGAAGCAGCCTCTTTTTCTCCCTTATATTGTATGCCTACTACCTGCCCATACAATCTCCATGCCCTCTTCTCTTCCACAAGCTCAGGATGTTTACAAAGCCCCCTGCTGAGTAAAACTTCTAAGCTCCTCAAGTTGATAGAATATACCAGCCATTACATCTGGTAAACACAGTTAAATGGTACTAATTTTAAGGCTAGGACTATTTTCATGTGAAGATTGATTTGAAATATTTGGGCTTTATTTATATGGTTAATAAAGATATATATAATATGTGTTTCACATAAATCATTTCACCATTTTCTTTTTGAGTATTTCTTAACTGTGTCTGGGTAGTAAAACTACAATCATTTGAGTGATTTAAATAAACTTCTAAATTCCAGTTTCAAAAGTATACTATTTCATTTAAATAACAAAAAGTACATATACAAGGGCCGGGGAGATGGCTCAGTGGAATAAGTGCTTCCTTGGCAAGCGCAAGGACCTGAGTTCAATCCGCGGTTCCACCAAAAAAAAAAAAAAAAAAAAAGTACACATACAGAAATACATCTGAATGTCTTCCAGGCACCCAGAAACAACTTCAATGTAATAATTAATTTTATGTGAATTAATCTGGTTTTTGGTCTAGTATAATGTTAAGGAAAATTAATGAACTAGTTGCATACTCCACTCCATTCTTTCTAGAGGACAACCTGCAGCCTTAGTGAAGGTGAAGTTGATCTCTCTGGAGCCAGTCAACTCAGCTAATTGTGAGGCAGTTATACAGATAATACAATAGAATTCATTTTAGCTCACAAATGATCCTTCAGATTTCAGTTCCCTCTGACTATAGAAATACAGCATTGGTGCTCGCTTCGGCAGCACATATACTAAAATTGGAACGATACAGAGAAGATTAGCATGGCCCCTGCGCAAGGATGACACGCAAATTCGTGAAGCGTTCCATATTTTTCAGTTACTGCTAAGATGTCTCTCGGGTAGGTGGATGTTCAAGAAGAAGGGGGTGGTGAATGAAAGCAAGAGACAGTAAAAGGAATACTGTGGGACAGTCCTGCTTCAAGGTTGTATATGGTGAGATTTTTGGACTTATGTGCAAACATGAGAAGCATAGAATTC